GTCATAAAAACATAGTAAAATTTAATACTTTAAAAATATTGTAGATATAATTAATTAGGAATAAAAATAAATTGATATTATATTAAAAAAGTAAAACGATACTTATTTTATGACAAATTTTTTAAACTAAAGAGACACTTGTTTTAATAAAGAGGGATAAAAGTTTGTGAGGTGGGAAAAATGATAATAATTAGAGAATTTCTTTCTCCACTTAGTAGATTTCTTGTGTATCTTTGGTGAAATTTCTAAAATATCTTCAGATTTCAGATATGTATATCTAAAGTCACCAAGTTTCAATTTCTATATGTTTGTTTTGATATATGTATATTCGAAATAATCCAATAATTGAATATTTGATTATTTTGAGTATACATATCCAAAAAAACTTGTAAAAATCTGAAATTTGTTGACTTAGGATATGCATATCCAAAATAACTCAATATTCCAAATTTATTTTAATTTTAGTATAATTTTTATTCTTATTAGATAGATATCTATTTAATATAGAAGATCTCTATTGTTTATATATTATTCATCATTTTTCTACAAAAGAAAATCTATTGATTTAATATTAAAATTTTATTTTAATATTATTAATTATTAATAGCATTCAACTTTTTGATTATAATATAAATATTTTTTTAATATAATAATTGGGTGATTATATATATAATAATTTTTTAATTATAACATAATAATTAATTATTAATTCTATAATAAAAATTAAAAAGTGTAATTTAAATTAGATTTAACTTTTAAATTTACAATTAATTTTTTTTTTATTTTCTTATTAAAAATTATTCATAATTTTAAATAAAATAATTAAAAAATAATTACATCTTACTATTATAATTAAAATTTTAATCATTGTATTCATTATTTAATTTCATATCAAAAATTTATTCTAATATTTAATTTTTAATTATAAATTTAAGTTATATTTTATTAATAATAATTTAATTATATTATATTATAAATAAATATTTTTTAAAAATAAAATTAAAATAAATTTGAGATATTAAGTGATTTCGAATATATATATATATATATATATATATATATATATATATATATATATATATATATATATATATATATATATATATATATATATATATATATATATATATATATATATATATATATATATATATATATATATATATATATATATATATATATATATATATATATATATATATATATATATGAAATCACCCAATTTAAGTATTTTAGAGATTATTTCGAATATGCATATCCGAGGTCATCTAATATTCCAAATTTACAAAATATATTCGAAAGTGCATATTCAAAGAGTATTTTTAAATTTTCAAAAATAAAAATTATCCATACTAAATATAAAGAGAAATTATAAATAATTAAGTGATGTTGAAGTTAAATTTCCAGCTAAAAGGGGACAAGCTAAAAGGGGACAGCTGAAAGGTTATTGATTAAAGTTCATTTTTTATTTTTTATTTGATCAATTTAATATATATTTGGATCGACGGTTGACAGAATTGATTTTAATAAAATTAAATTTAGTAGAATTGATTTATATTTAGATATATTTATATAAAAATAAGTTGAATAATAAATTTCAGTATAAAAAACATCTAAAATCAATTCTGAAAACAGAAATTATAAATTTTAACTTTAAGTAGAATCAATTTTAAAAATAAAATCAATTTAACTTTAATATAACCAAACATTTTAGAATCATTGGAGAATCAATTCTACACTCTAAAATACTTTTATTAAAAAATTAATATGCCATCTTCCATTTTATACATGCCACACCCAAATTTCAATATTCTCAAAATATTCTTTTTACTATTTATTCTAAATTTTTTATTTTTGTCAACAAAAAAAAAATACTATTAGTCAAAGATGATTTTCGAAATTTCCGATACTCTTAGTAAATTTTCGATACCAATTTTTGTCACATACTGAAAATTCTTTACATTCTACAAATTTCCAGTAGCAATATAGTGAAAATTTCTAAATATCTGGTTGCGATTTACCAGAAATTTTATAATTTCCGATAAATTTTATAAAAGTTCTACAAGTACTGAAAATTTAACAAACTTTCGATAGTAAATCTTTACCGAAAATTTCAAATTTCTGATGCACCAGAAATTTCAGTTAAATTTTAAATTTCCAATTTATATTTAGAATTAAAAAAATATCAGAAATTTTGAAATTTCCGATATTATTTATACACCAGAAATTTCAAATTTCCGATTTATTATGTTAATAATAGAAAACACTGGAAATTTGAAATATCACGTACTGAAATATAAATTTCCAATTACAACTAAATAGCACAGTAAAAATTTGAAAATTTAACAAAATTTTGATATTTAGGCGAAATTTTAGTATGGAATCAAAAATTTATAAAATTCTAATATATTTCAGAAATATTTTTGTAACTATACGATATCTAAAAGATGACATGTAGTACAAAATAAGAGATACCATATTAATTTCTCGCTTTTATCTCTTCTAGAATTGAAACCAACTGAACACTTAATTAAAGTCAAAATAGTTTGTTTACAGGATAGTAGTAGCTTTTAAAATAGAGAATTTTGATTTTGGTAAATTTTCAAGCATCCATCATAAATAATTGGTACCATACTTTCATTGTAGATTGATTTAGAATTTAAATTTATTTAAAAATAAAATAATTATAAAAATAATGTGTTATTAAATAATAATATTTAATTGAATGATGTTATTGATATCCAACTAAATTCAAAGATATCCTTTTAATCCATAATTAACTATAAAACCTATAAACAAACTATGAAAGTAGGGAATGGATTGCTCCCCGTAGTGGTGGATAAGTCATCAATTTGGATCGTAAAAATTTAAATTTGACGTATACTCTATTTTATTATTGAAGTCCGATCAAAAATTTTATTTTTAACAGATTTGATTTAATCTGTTTAATAGTTAAATCAAGTAGATTTGATTAGTTAATATTATTAAAATAAATTTATAAAAATTATCTATCTTTTATAAAATTCACAAATATTCATCTTTTAATTTTTTTATAAAAACTATCAAAATTTTAGAATAACTTAAATAATTATTTTTTTATTATTAAAAAAAATATTATTATTATATTATAAAATTTCAAATATTATTTGATATTAATTTAATCATTATCATACTTTAAACAACAAATTAAATAACACTTAAAATTTTATATTATATATCTTGTATTTTTATGAAAATATAATACTACCATTAAATTATAAAAATAATAACAATTTGATAATATCATAAACTCTATTTTTATAATATAATAAAAAATATATAAAATAAATATTAATTAAATTCGATCCAATTCAATTTTCAACTATCCGATCTATTTGCTCAAAAAAGACACTAGGTCAGTCAGAGATGTGAATTTTCACATGAGGGAGAATAGTGCAAATCTCAACCCTTAAAAGTAGTACTACGCTTGAAGTTAACTATTTGAGTACAAAATTACGGTTATATACGAATTTTTCTAAAAATGAGTAAAGCTTCATTTTCATTTTTACATATACTTTTATTTATCTGAATATTAAATCATTATTTTGGTTCATATGGTCATACGTCTAACACATCTATTAGCTTGTTTGTGTCACAACTAAGGTTTGTGCGTCATTTTCAAGTGAGCGTTCAATAATGCGAAAGTGTCAATGTATGTGAATCATTAAATGTTTAACTTGATATATAAAATAAATTATATTTACAAAGACTAAAACCAACGAGTACAAGATACCAAAACAATTCTTCGTGTTTATTAGAAGAGATGAAAACAGAAATTTTTACATCCATAAACCAAAAACAGTAAATTGAGCAGTTTTCTTCCTTGTGATGAATATATGCTTTGTATTTATCTTTTTCATAATATCAGTAATAAAGATAAACATGATAATTGAAGAAGCAACAAACATACCAGTTAACAATGAGCAAATAGAAAGAAAATATCACTCTATACAACACTCAGATACATAGGACGAAAACCTATGAGGAATTTCAATGCTGAACTTTCCCAAAGTATTGTAAATGAATTTTCCTCAGAATCTCACCCTTTAAACACTATCATCTCTATCTGCTATTACTGACCAGTCCAGCTACCTTAAAAATGCACAAGAAAGTTGGAATTGGGTCCCAACGCATATAGTATCATATCCCTAAGATTTTGCACTTTTATCATTTTATCCCCACTTTTATCATCTTTATTCTGCTGATGATAATGATAATGTAGCCTTTTAAAAAACCAACTGTATAGTGTGGCATTGTTTAAGATATAAAAGTGCCCTGCTTGGGAGATACTATCATTTCCCCCCCATAAAGGCATACACAAATATTAAGCTAATACTTCTTCCTGTCTCTAAAACCTTATTTTAGTAAATGACTATAAGGCTGCCAAACCGAAAACAATTTACCATAACATACAGATTACTTTGAAGTCAATATTTCTCTAAACGAGAAGGGGGAGATTCTTTGCAATCACAAATCCATCCTATTGCACCATTAATTTAAAAATAACCTCACATAGTCATTAGAACACAATACAATTGTGTTCACAGATGATTAACAATTCCTCACCAGTCACTACTTTTTAAACTATAAAATTCAAATTCCTGCTGTTAACCCAAAACCTGGAGGAAAACCCAGAGACAGCATTTAGAAATATGTCTCTCTAGCCTAAGGCTTTAACAAATTCCCAAATCACTTAAAAGGATATTAGAAGAATAATACTATATACTGAGGTTGCAAGATTCACAAAACTAGATTAGACTGTGTCCTGTCATAGAGATAATTGATTTTCAAGTACAACTTCAACAAGCAATTGTGAACATTCATTTATACCGTCTGATAGTGATAACACTATAATACTATAAAATTGCACAACTGATTGGCCAGAGACCATATACAGAAGAAAAGCTATGGAAATAAATCATTTCCCCAGTTATTTAAGCGTGTTAATAGTATGGATTGTTTCACCTGACCTGGTCATAAAAATTTGATCGGGTCAAATTTTTAAACTTGAAAACACTAAACCTAAAATGGCCAATATGTGGATGTAAAAAGGACTAGAGGGGAGCAGGTTGACACAAAATATAAAGTAAATATAATTTTTAAATGATCAATATAGCAATGGTATTTAAAAGAACATATTACATCACAGTACAAGGTGAATGTGTCGCATACATTACAGTTTCTATTTACATAAAAGTATCTTTTTACCGCCTTCAAGTTTTAAGACATTGCCAAGACAAGAAAAACAATATATATCATTTTGAGCGTAGAATATGACTCCAAACAAATAAAAAGATAGAATAGTTTAACAAGCACTTTGGATAGTCTACAACATGTAAAATGGAAGTTGTATTTGAAGCAGCAGATTAAGGTGTGTGTGTGTGTGTGTGTGTGAGAGAGAGAGAGAAGACAGGAAAGGTAGCCCACAGAATCCCAAATATGTCACAAACTTGATTAATTGGATCGTATGAGTATTGATTCCTATTATTTAAAAACAAAAAATAAATTTCATTGCTATATAGCTTTGCGTGTATATAAATCTAGTAAATGGGTGGAGTCGTTGACAGCCATTACCCATGAATCATGACAGTAGTAACATTGTGTCTAAGGAAATGAAACTAGACTTTGTTAAAGATCCATCATTGTCATTTGTACTAAAAATCAAAATTAATCATGGAAACCTTAATCTGCATATAACACATAGATGAAAAAGAAAACCTTCCAAATAAAATAATGCTGTAACAAAACTACTACCATAACTTATCATATATCACCATTACTTTCATTGGTATGTTTAACATTAACATATACATGTCACACAGAATAATTTAAGGCTTCATGATTGATACAATCAACACAGAAATCCAACATTAATCACTAGGGTTTTCCAAGTAATAATCCTAAAATATTGCAAATACATAGAGTTCGAAAGTAAACATGTAATAAAGGAACAATCAAAGGGTACATGAAAGAGTTTGCACCTTAAGGTGTTTCTTTTACATTAAAATTCGACTATAATTATTAACAACACATAAACCACACGATAATACTACGAATTACTAAATTTCCATTTATAAATTCTCATACCGATTCCTTAGCCGGTGGTGCGGGGGCAGCAGCAGCAACTTCAGCCGCCGGAATCTTGACGTATCCAGCTTTCTTAGGACTCTCAATCTCGTCGTCGGAGAAATCACCGTAAACGGCAGAATGGAATTCATGGCGGGCGGTGAAGACGGACCAGACCAAGTACATGGTGGCGGCGGTGAGGGCACCACATCCAACTCCGAAAAGCAAGGCGAGTGCAACGCTGAGGATATCCTTAGTACGATCGCGGATGGAAGAGAAATCGGCGTCGGTTGAAAACCCTAGAGGGCCGCGTGGATGCGACGCGCGAGAGTTGGTTTCCAGGTTCTGGTGTTGGATCGGGCGATCCAGGAAGATTCCGTAGGGTTTGTCGTTGGGGAAGAGAGGGGAGATGGATCGGATCTCGGTGATGGTGGCGAAGGTGTTGGAGGAAGGGTTGCGGAAGGAGTAGGAGGAGATGATGAAGGTACGGCAAGGGCGGGCGGAGACGGTGGCGGCGGAGAGAGCGAAGAGGAAGATTACGGCGGCGGCGATGGGGAGACGGAGGAGAGAAGCCATGGCTGAGAGAGACGGAGGAAATTGAAAATTGAAATTGAAGAGATGTATTGTTTATATTTTCTTTTGATGCGAAGAAAAAGAGAGAAGAAAAGGGGAAAATAGGAGAATTAATGGAAGACGACAAATGATGACGTGGATTCCTAAAGATCTACTCAACGTGAACAGCCGAATAAAAAAAATAAAAAAATCCTAGTAACATGTGTTTTAAAGAGATAAATTAGTGATATTATAATTAGAAAAATTTAAATATAATTATTTAAAGTTTTAAAATATTAATGCTCACATTTTAAAAAAATATTTTCATAAATAATTTATTAATCTGTAGTCATAAAATATATGTTAACTTTTCTCATAAAAAATGGTTAAATATGTTTTGATTCTTTTAAATATAACAGTTTTTGAATTTAATTTTTTTAAATATTTTTTTTAAAGAACAGCCTTTTTAAAAAATTTCATTTATATTTTTTGTCTATTCTGTTAATGTCTGTTAATAAAGTTGATGTGACACTAATACGTGATAGTACCAACTATCAAAGATATTGACGTGAGACATTACATAACTAAAATCAATTATATATTTGTGCCAATAAAATTTTGTAGCTAATAAATAGTTAAAAGCGTAACTATAGCAAATTCGTAAGATTTTCTCTACATTTATGTTTATACTTTGTTTCGGATAATCCTAACACTTCTTTAACTTATAAATCTTTTTAGTGACATAGGAGTATTGTTTATTTAAACTTTATCACTCTGCACTAAAAAATTGACTAAATAATCTATAAATATTTTTTCTACCTTTTAGCTTATAAATAACTATGTAAGCATTGAATATAAACTTTCTTTTACCATTTGGCCTACGGCTAAAAACGGTGCAGATGTTGTAGCTTATTTGATAACCTTGCTCTCACATGGAGCTTCAGTATCATATTATCACACTTATCTTAATAAACACCTTATTATTTATTGAAATTTAAACGAGTTTAACAAAAAGATATGGTTATCCTTCATTTTTCTTTATCTGCTTTAACTGTGCAAACACTTCAAAGTAATGGTGAAAATATAGTTATAGTAGCATGTGATACTGTTAGAGAGAGCAAGAAAACTACACCAAATCATTATGAGAGATTTAGTGGTAAAAATCTATACATGATAATGAGTTATGACATCCTCTATCAAGAGGTACTGAGTTTAATATTATGCCTCATTAATGTGAGAAATCTTTAAATATTTAGTGCATTCTTTCCATGGTGAGGTTCATTTCCTGTTTAATAATTGTATTGCACATGAGAGGTACTGAGTTTTGTGTTGTCTGCAAGTGCTCTTAACTCTGCGACATATTCTTCCACTCATAATTTATTTATGAGAGTGCCAAATTTTAATCACTGATTAATAAGGATAAGAGTAAATACTTAAGATCTTTCTCTGAAGTGTGATGGTTATCAGATATTCAAATTTTTCTCAACAAAAAATCTAAGAAATTGCAAACTCCATTGATGAAGAGCTTGAGCAGCCAAAGGAAAGAAGAAGAATAGAGATGAAGATGATAGCTTTGTTCATTGTGTATTGAAATCAGTTACAAATCAGTTTATATACAACAACTAAATGTAACTAACTTAACAAACTAGAAATATAACCAATGTATTATGACATGTGTTATGGTCAGATAGGCTGATTATTTCCATATCTTATCTTCATTATCTGTTACCCCCTCACAAGCTTGTGGTTGGTAGATATCTACTAAGGCAAGTTTGGATAAGCAACTGAAGAAAGGCCTGGGCCCTAAAACCTTAGTGAAAACATCAGCAGCCTGCGCGTGTGAAGACACAGGAAGAAGCCTCATAAGACCAGTTTGAAGTTTCTCACGGACCAGATGACAGTCAATGTTCAGATGCTTCGTGCACTCATGGAAAACTGGATTAGCTGAAATGTGCAAGGCGTTTTGGTTATCACAGTAAATGACAGGAAGGCGGGATGGATGTTGCTTGAGATCCTGAAGAAGAAAACACATTCATTGAAGTTCTCGTGTGGGTGAAGCCAAGACACGATATTCAGCCTCCGCAGATGAACAACTCACTGTGACCTGCTTCTTTGATTTCCATGAAACCAGAGACTTCCCTATGAAAAAGAAAAAACCAGAGATGGAATTGCGTGTATCTACACATCCTCCCCAATCGCCATTACTAAATCCAAGGATTTGTAAATCTGAGGATTAGGAAAGAAAGATTCCTCGAGCTGGTGACCTTTGAGATATCGGAGAGCACGTAAAGCAACCTTGTAATGTGTTTCAGTAGGGGCACTCATGAACTGGCTGAGTTGCAAAAGCAATACCAGGTCGCATCATTTTCAAGTAAATGAGTCTTCCAACAAGCTTGCAATATGTTGTCACACCAGCAAAAGCCGAACCAGTGTCTTGTGACAAACGTGTAGTAGTGTCCAAAGGAGTAGACACAGGTCAATCAAAAAAGAAAAAGTCAAAAAAGTCAAAGAAATAAGCAAATGGGCTCAGGGGGTTCAAAAGCAATTGTGTGGTGTAAATAAGAAAATATTCCAGGCCCAGCCCAGAATCAGTCATCTTCAACCTCTGAACAACATCACCCACGTGTTTTCTATCTCTGGATTCCTGGACTTTCAAGCAAAACTCATAACATGAAAAGTGTAGAGCATTAAGAGACGATTCCAATCATGTAAAGAACTTGACCTAACTCTCTAAGATGAGGGAGAATTTCTTCTCCCCCAATTTCTGACCTAACTTTTATGCCATGTTCAGACTCAAAATTCTTGCAGCACACGTAACATAAATGAAATCTAACTATATGGTCATGTTCAGGGCTATGATTGTGACATATTTTCTTCACAAACCTAAAGCTAACAATGCCTAATAAGAGAGATAGAACTTCATGAAGATACCTGTTCAGTTGGAATCGTGCTTTGCAATGGAGGATGTTTCAGAGTAAAATGATGATTTGTATAGCTTCCTTGAAGTGTAAGGATGCTATTCCAAGTTCTACTTTACCTTGAAACTCCCTGAATCGTGCTGGTGAACTTCAACTGCAAAACAGAAAAGCAAAAATGGTGAAGTGGCTTGGAGGTGTTACAGGTCAGGTTTCAGGTCATGGTTAGCTTGCATAGATAGTATGGAAGGTATATGAACTGGTTTTGGCAAGAATGCTTGAGAGAAATAGAAGTTGGCACTCAAACTGCAGAGGCAACTCTGTTTTTGCAGTTTGAGAGTGATTCTGAGATGGAGGGTGGATTGGAGGTCAAAGGCTCGTGCAAAAGCTTGGGTATGATCTCTGGAATGTGTTTGATAAGTTTGTTCTTGTGTTTGTAAGCTGAGATGGAAGTTGTTATGAGTTATGCTATGTTACTTCACACTTAAGCAAACAAAGGCAAATTGTGCTCCTAGGCCTGTAGAGGACCTCACACTATGCTGCATAATCCCTCCTTGATCAGTGTGATTAGCACATAAACTTGTGCCAACCAGATTCGCAATGTACTTGTTGGATTCTCAATTGGACATAAAGTGATCTTTTGCAAAAATGGAAAGAATGCTTTATCTAGTTTGGGATTAATCTTGCATACAATGTTCAAACTCATAGAACAACACCTTAACACAATGAATATGCATTAAATTATTGAGTGCAACTTGGTTTAAGGACCTGTAATCTAACCTAAAGCATGCTGAGTTCAAATTGCAAAGTTATGAACATGGAAAATGGCCAATTTAAAAGTGAGTTTTTGCTATATTGTGAAATTCGATTCTCCCTAACCATGAGGTTGTTTGATGAGTTCTTGGACATTTTGGAAATCTTGGAATGTGTACTACAATCCATCTTTGAAATGAAAATTTAAATTCCAAGTGGAAGTGTATGGAAAATGGCCTTGAAGTGGGGTAAAAACTTGTCAAAAATAGGTCAAATTTTCACTAAGTTAAGAATGGTTTAGTGCCCTTATTCAAAAAATTTTAACTTGAGATACAAGCTTCAAATGAGAAAACTTTGTGAATAAAAGTTGTAGATTATGTAACAAGCTACAACTTTCATGTTTTGACTTTTGTTTGAATCCAAATGAATCATGGTGAAAAAGTGGGGCAAAGTTGGGAAAAAATTAGGGTTTTCCATAACTTAGAAAAATTCTAAGTTATGAAAAATTCCATTTTAAAACCCTAATTTGCATTTCTTGGTTTCTTGGTGAACAAGTTTCATGATTTGGCATGTTTTGATGAAAAATGAATCTTGACTCTTGATTTTGACCAAAAAGTCAAAGTTTGACTTTTCAGTGTACAGTCAAAATTGATCAATTGACTGGGAAATTCAACTGTCAAACTTGTGTACTTGGGATCTTTTGAGCTTGATGAATGTGTCAAGACCATTTCATTGAGTCCTTGAGTCCATATGTGAGCTTGGTTTGCCATTGGTTAGGTCAAACAGTCAAAAATTGCCTTTGTGCAGTCAAAACCCTAAAAATGACCATTTTGCCCTTTTGGTGATCTGATCAAATTTCTTGAGGAATTGTGATCCAAACTTGATCAAATGGTCCATATGAGTTCATAATGTTGATGTGGGTCAATTTTTATGAGATTTGACTGTCAATTGGCCACAGTTGACTTTTTCCCCAATACAGCTGATTTTTAGGTCAACTGTCCAATTGACTGGGTAAAACTTGGAATTAGGACTTGAAACTTGGTATGGGTAATCTTGTGAGTCAAACATGAAACATGAAAGTCATCTTAGGCATTTTAGGTCAAAACATCCTTGGGCAAACACAAACCCTAATTTGAGTCCACAGTGCAAGGAGAGGTCTTGAGCAGAGGAAACCCTGACTGGATCTTGATCTTCAAGGGTCTTGTGATGAGAAGATGTTGAGGAAATGGGAGGGCAAATTTTGGGGTACAACAGTTGCCCCTGTTCAATCTTCTTGAACCTGAAGAGTTAGATTGGCAAGTTTGCCTTTCGTGACTCGAGGGTAAAAGGAGATTGGACACTAGAGTGCCCGAAAAT